GTGCTGCATGTTGTGCATTTAGTTTCCAAAACACGTTATTCATGGTTACATACAATTTTAGACTGATGTGGGCCAAAGCCTAGCATAGCCTGTAACGTTATTATGACGGACACATTTTATGAGTTAATTTGGCTTTAAGTGACTTACAGGTTTCTATGAAAAATATTTTCTTATATCCAGGTTCTTCCTTTTTGCTGCCATCCTCCTCTCCTCCTCGCAGCGCAGGCTTGCTGCTGCTAAAACTAAACAGAGCTCCCTGAAAGGCACAGCCAATCACATTGGCCATATTTGTCACATGAGGTAGGACTCCAGTAGAGAATGTAATATAACTCTTTCTGCACCGCTGGGTGAATGAGACGTTGACAGATCTTTTTTTTTTTTCTTTCTATCGGGTTTGATTTTCTTTACTCGAATAGATCAAATTATTGGTGGGGACAATTCAATAATCGCTGAATATTGGTGGACATGTCCCTTCCGTCCATGCCAAATCTACGCCCTTGGTCAAAAGAACTTAAAGCTGGAATCCGTAAATTCCAGCACTATTTTCATGCCTGGAATCGTTAGCTCCTACCGAGATTAAGATTATGAACAAGATTATGAACCTCGTCTTTCTTTTCTTATTGTTGGATTCAAGAGTGATGTAATTCTTATTTTTGGCGGAACGCTTTTGTATTTGTGAAAAGATCGTGTTAGCAGAGACGGGTCTTCCAGCAGACTCTGCATGAATATTGAAGATACTTATTATTTAGTCGGAGGAATAATCACACGTGGGGCATCGGCTTTCACCGGAACATCACACCAAAAGGTGACTTTGTTTATTGAACTCTCGCGTGCACTCTGCAGCATAACAGGAAGCATCCTTTCAAAATAAAATCACAACAGATGACAATGAGGGCATACCTATTAACTAGCTCAACAGATCGTTATTCATGCAACTTGGTACATGTTTTGGTATATTGCAATATTTTCTTTTTATATCTCAGGTGATATTTTATCTCCAAGAACTACCCAAAGTCTTGACAAATGATGCAAGAATTGCACCTGACGCCTACGCAACCGTCTCGACAGAGTTGCTCAAGATAGACATAGATCACATGACGAAAAATAATTTAAGGAGAAATTTGTGTTCCAGTTGCAGCTATGTGCGCTCCAGTATAGCCTGGTCGTGTTCATGCTGACACACTTTTCTCTGGGAAACAACTATTACTGAGTTAATTTCACCTAAGAAGGTGCGTCACAACACACGTCTTTACTCTAATAATGCAATTCATCACGAAACACATTTAAGACAAAATACATTCAACATCTGTTTGGAGCAGTGAATCGGCTAAAAAAATTAAAACAAAACACCGAAGCAAAAACGCAAATACCAGGTTTACACGTTTGTCCTGAAAACACATTCCTTATTCTTTATTCACCGTTTGCTGTATATCTGTGTGTTTCTGTGTTTAAAACACCCTGGCTGATTGGCGGTTGGTGAGAGAGAACACCTGGATGTGGAAAGAAAGTGAATGCCACAAGCTTTATCTACACTGGGGAATCGCTAGACAAGTCCTGCAGCACTGGAGAACTCTAGTTTTTTGTTGGTTTGTTTGTTTGTTTGTTTGTTT